TTCTGAACTGAATGTGAAGAGGAGAGAGATTTTGGCACACAGTCTCAAACTCACACACAAAACATCGACCATGAAGAAATGCCATTTACATGAAAATAGCATGAGGTTTCTGGACTTTTGGAGTAAATATTCAAAGACAGAGCCCCAGAAATTAGGAATCCTCACTGGATGGAGTAAATTGGGATTTTATGTTTATTGGTAAAATAAATGTTCATTCTTTATATAAATCCTAAAGAAGGATGTTGCCTCTTCAGTTTTGCCCAACTGCTTTAAAATGGAATTAGGAATTTCTGACAGTTACAGTAACAAAACGTAGTCAATTTGTTTTAAACAAAAAATACTAGCGTAGCATCTGAGTCAAATCCATAGCTGTATACTATAAAATACTTGTAACTCTATAGTTTAGTCACTGTGTAAGACCAGAGTAAGCAAAAGCACACTGTTGTAAACTGAACTCCTAAGGGGCTTGGAAAGTCGCTCTGGCAAAATATTGGGCAGAAAAACCTTTAAATTTCTCTCTAGGATTTTTTTGATTCTTGCTGTGTGGAATGGGGGTTGAACTCTCACCTCAGTGACTGATGAGTCATTAATTCACGTTTGTAAAGCACTGTGATCTTAGAGGTCTTTTCCAACCAAAGGATTCTATGAAAATTAACACGGTTAGCAAAATGTATTACAAATAGGAGTATTGAGGGCAATTTCATAGTTAACTCATGTTTTTATTTAACCTGTAAAATTCTTCTGTTAGGTCTGAATTTCAGTTTCTTCCAGCTAGGGATGGACAGCTCCTTGTTTTCCTCACTCCTTAAGCACTTTGTTGGCTGTTTGGGTGGTGTTGAATTTTACCAGCAGACTATTCCAACTGTTGTTGAAAATCACAGGTTGTCAACAAACGCTTGAGGCCAGACTTTTTTATTCTTACAATTTCTTTACTCCAGCAGTATCCCATCCAAGCCGTGTTTACAACCACCTTACTTTCTGCAGCTGAGTCACTGTTTTTTAGTGGAGCTCTTTGCAAGCAGCAGAAACTTCAGGGCAATCAATATGGCTTTCAACCCGGCCATCGAGAGTGCTGGAGATATTTAGGTCATTAAATGGCAGTGGACAGAAGTAAAAGCCCATATCTCACTTCATTAGCAGTAAAGATGCTGTTTAGTTTTATTTGCTAAATCACACAACACACATAAACTGCACGGGAGGGGTGGAAAACTGAGTCAGCAAAAATCCCGTGAGGTGCCAAAGCCAAGGCATGGCCAAATTTCTGTGATCTCGGTGCTCAGTGCAAACTTGTTTTATTGAATTTTACTTTTATATGCCATATTAACATCTCATTTGCATACAGATTGTGCTCCATCTTTACTCTAAAACCGCACTGTCAGCAGTTCTCTTGTGCAGACAAGGAGTGGCACAGCAGCATTTAAACACTCTTGTTAAATTTTAAAGCAAGATGCAGAAGGTTTTGGTCAATCTGCTTTGTGGGTTATCACATCCTTTGCCTTTTCCTCCACAGTGGTAGCTGGGGGTTGATTTTATTTATTCCTTTCAGGATTGTTCAGATGCGCATATCTAAATATTTCAGCTACTCCAGGCATAGAATCCCTAGCAAATCCAGTGCTCTTCACATCAGGTTTCCCTGCTAATGCTCCTGCAATTCTAATTGTGGAAGCAGCAGCACAGGTAAAGCGCTGTCGGGGCAGTGGTTTTGCCACGATGTTCTATTTACTAGAGGAGGTAAACACTTCATCTCTTATTGTTGTTACTCTGGTGGAATTGTGTTAGAGTCAAACGGAGAGAAAACAGAGTGTTGAGCAGAATCAAATGTAAATACATCCAGCAGAAGTACATACATACTCTGTGGTAGCTGTATAGTAGTACATTACCATAAAACAATTTTTTCTCTATGAACACAGAAAATTCCCAGCTGCCTTAATAATTATTTCAGCAATCAACTTTTAATTTATGAGTTCTAATAATTCTATTCTGAGGCTAAACAAATAAACACACCTACCAGGCACTAGAGAACATGACAGAAATCACAGTGTAGTATTAACAGTTGGTATTTGCCATGCTGGAATAACAGAGAGAGTGATAATACATAAACACATACAGTGAATATTACTTGGCAACTGTTTGTGGTGTAACTGCCCTTATGTGATCACACCTGGTGAAAACACTGGAATTTGTGGGTGTTGTAGTTAGTGTAGACAGGTAGCAGTGCAAGCCATTACCTCTTGTACTGTCACTAAGTGGATAAAGCAAATAAGATGAATATGTTAAGGAAGTTGCAGAGCTGCATCCCCAAAATTTGAGTTTCTGGAGGCTCAGCCTGGCCCTGCACGTGGCATTTAGTTATGCTAAATACAGCCAAGGCTTGGCTGCAAGCCAGGCCCAGCTATTGTCCTTACAATGCGGGATCAGTGGTTCACCTGCAGGATAACAAACCAACTGCTAATGAGAGTAATTAGGAGCCTTGGGGGTGATTTATACATTTTGTCACTGTACAAGCAGTGTAAATGCTGAGGTTTGCAAAGATAACAATTACTGGTTCAGGTGATGATCCTTTCATCAAAGACCGACATCCGATTTTTAACTGTTGAAATTCAGAACTGGCTTAGTAGAAGTAGAATTGTAACTATAAGTAGAAGGAATGTATCCAAATATTTGTCTTAATTCAGCTTTGAGTATCAATCCATAACCCAAAAATCACAAAGGGGCAAGACTGTAGAATGGGATAACTCTAAATTGGTGATTATTTACAGATATCTAAAGGTATAGGTTGTATTGTTTATATACTAATATTCTTGCAGAGACAGAGTAGAAGTACAACTCTTAATAAAACTAACTGCTTTTTGTCTGAGTATCTTAAATATTAGCGAAAAAAATCTCTTTGTGGTCTCACATTGTTACTTGCAGAGTTAATGCAGATCAGGTGATAACACTCTCAGCACAAGTCTCTACCCAAATTGTCCGTAAATTCACTATAGTTATTGGAACTCCTTGCTCCTCTCAACACAGCCATTGTTTATTCTGAATTACGGTTGTGCAGACAAGGTGTGTTACTGAGAGCACTGTCACTGCCTGGTTTGACACAGGTAGGATTTGAATTCTTTTTTGAATTCCTTTTTCCTAAGATCTTAATTTTGCCACCCAATGCGTGGAAATGCCAGTGTGTGTCCCCTGCACTGCTGGGCTCAGTGTTGACCGTGAGTTACCCCTCGTGTGCTGCTGAGAAACATCTCACTCTGAAACAGCTTTATAACTGTTGGAGAGAAGGAAAACAGACCCAAGGTTAAAACATATCCTAAAAATACCTGCCTTTGCCAAAAGATGAAAATTCTTTGGACTTAGATTTCCTGTTCTGTACTGTTTGTGGGCACGCTCCACTCCCAGACGAGGGGGAATGACCTCCAGGAAAGAGCAGGATGTGTTTTAGAAAAGGGAGGAAATGTGATAGTCTGGAAGCCTGAAATACAAGATCCAATCTCTCTCCATGGATGGCAAGAGCATGTCAGACATAATGGAATATTAAGAGAAGGAACCTATTGCAGGCTCAGGGGACTTGAGTAAGATAGCATTAAAAACTTTACTGCTATTAAATCTTGGGGAGCTGCAGATAATTTTGCTTTAGAGGAGCGTGGCTGCTGGTGTGGTTAAAAATGCTATCGAAAAATCCACTCAGGAGGAATCCCTCAATAAAACAGAAACAATTGGGGCTACATTGGAAGTTCCTGCTAAGGAAAACATCATTTGGCAGAGAAGATTGGAGAGGCTGGAGAGTGACAGCAGCAGTAGAGTTTTAGGACTGCAAACGGGTGCTGAGGGAAATGGTGGAAAGACTATTGAGACTTTATTAACTGCTACATTGGGGATCAGAAATAGTTCTCCCCACAGAGAGAGAGAAAGCCTTTCCAGAGCACTGAAACATCTGCCATTAACTGCAGAGCAAGGGAGAGGGATGAAACCATTCTTTTTTTATCTGTAAACCCTCAGATTGGAGCCACAGAGCAGGTAACCAACAACAAAAAGACGTTTCCTGCCAGCAAACGTTTTCATACAGGAGGGTTTATACTCAAGGAAAATTATGACACGTACAAGTATCAGAGAAACAGAAAATTGGATCATATATAAATCCTTAAAAACTGCCTTCTGCCTTGACTACTGGATAGCTAACGACACCACATTCCCTGGCTCCCCCTGGATGTCTGGCATTTAGTTAGTGCCTCATCCAGTACTTCTTCCTCACCGAGCTCAAGGGAGAAAAATCAGTATATTTAGAAGAAAATAGGAGTATTTGGATTTGTTTTACTAAGTAGGACATGACAGAAGAAACAAAAGACTGTCTTTTTATCCCTCCAAATAATTGGCACTGACAAATATGCTACTTTTGCTAAAGGACAGCTACACAGAACTGGGAATGTGTAGCAGTGGAATGGCTCTTTTTATTTGTTTGCTTTCCTATTTTAACTAAATTTGTGCTGTAGCATTACTCAGGCTACAGAAAACCCCAAATACAGTGAATAAAGAGTGACTAAACAGGCTGAGCAGAGCACATCAGTACTCCTGAAAGGAGGCAAAGGGTAGAGAAACATTTAGTGGTGAGAAGCAGTGAGGGACTTGGCAAGAAAAACCAGAGTTTTCTAGTAAGTTTTTAAGCTGTGCATTGAATTAGACCTGTTCTCTTTGAAAAAAAGAAACTTGCTACTGGACAGGGGGACCTGGAGATTCATTTTCTGTGATTTGTTCTTCTGTGGGATGTTGCTGTTCCTGGAGATCCAAATCCATGGATCCTCTGTAGGTAGTTTGGGAACGTCCCCAAACCACCACAGTGTCACACACATCAGCTGGGTCCCCAGAATCCTGAGAGGTTGGTGGGCCTCCTTTCCTTTGGGATTGAGCTATCCTGAATTCCAGCCTTGGGATCTTGTGAGAACTGTATTACCTCATAGAGGTCTCCTTCCATGTCTCATCCAAGGAGGATTCCCATTTCTAGTGCACTGAGAAAGCTGCACACCTGGCTGCTGAGAACAAGGCAGGAAATGGTACAAGCTTTACATTTTTAGATTCATTCTTCATCTAATGTAGTGTTCCTAAACTCTTACTATGAGTAAAGGAAAAATATCCTTATCCTGCACCAAATCCCAAGAAATCTGCTCTTTGAAAGATACTTTCTTTGAATTTTAGTGGAGAGAATCATCTTCCATTGCTTAACATTGAAGACAAAGGTAAGGAAAGAGCTGGATTTTTATCAAAAACCTCCTTCAAAGCAAACCTGCCCCTTTTCTGCTCCAGCTGAGACATCCATAACATGAAGTATAAGCAGGGGACCCCATAACAGCTGTCACAGCATCTGAAGACTTTCCTTTCTCTAAAGAAACCTACTTTGGCATAGAAACATAAAAAAAAAGAAAGACCGTTTTAACAAAAAGAAAAGTACTTTAATGAATTGCAAATAGACTGTAAATGACTACAGAAAAAACTGATGGGGTGAACAAAGTACATAAAAATCCTGTGTGCACACACTGTTTATAAATCAAGCTCTCACCCACCATGCTTGGAATAGACATCCAAAGGAACATATCAAATTACACAAAAGGTCAGGGAATGTAAAATAGTGAACAGACTGTTATGGGATCATCTTTAATCTTTTCCACCACCTAAAAACTTGTGGGGAGGGGTAAATGATATTAAATGAATTGAAGAAGCTAATGAGAACTTTTGGATTATAATGCCAAAATCAGGAGACATTTTGTTCATTTGAAAGATCTGGCACTTGCTGGAAATTCTCTCCAATTGCTGAAGACATTTGGGAAAGTTAATTTTCTGCTTAATTTTTCTAAATGCACTATCGACTTTAAAGAAAGAAAGACAAAAAAGAAACAAAGTTTTAAAGTATTTAAAACATTATAAAAATAGATAGAACTGCTCATTGGATTGTTTCAGAAGTCCTTTGGGGTGAGTTACACCGTTTTACAGAGGGAAGGCAGAGTTGTGGTGACAAGTTCCATGTGATATCTGCATCCTGCCTGCTCCAGGTGACACCTTAGGTAGGGAATTCTCAAAGCAAACAAAAGTTAAATGAAGATATTCCTTTCTGGCTTAAAATTTTACCTCTTTGAAGCCTCACCTCTCTATTTAAACACAAGAAAGTGTGGCTTGGTTTCCAGGACTGCTGAGTACTCAGTGAGTACTTCTTGCCATAGGGAGTAGATGAGTTGTAGAGGAGGCTCCCTTTTCTCTCTGCTTTGTTCTTTCTCCTTGTTCTCTGACTGTTTTTGAAACCTCTTCTGAACCTTTTTTTTGTATATGTTTTTTCTTTAGGAGGGAAAATAAAATCTCTTTCATCCCAATCCACCCTATTTTTTGAACTAGGTAGGGGCCATATTTTCTTAGTTACCTGTGTCCAGATGTAACATTTCTTGACTATTCTGCCACTTTATGATAATTTGAATGAATAATCTAAAAATCATAGAATCTAAAGTGTCCAGTTGTACTCTGACACATCAGATAAGGGCTGTGACAAGGTGAGAGGTATTATTTATATAGTAGGAAATAGAAGTACTTAAAAAGGAAACCCTCTTCTGTTTGAAGTCTGGATAATTCCGGGAGACTCACAATTCAGCACCCTCACTGTATGATGGTGAATACAGCAAAATCATGGCCTTAACCTAAAATTTGTTACTTAGGTTCATTCTTCCACTGGATTTCTCCTTCTTAGAAATCTCTTTAATTTTTCATCCATTTATCTTGAATTTTCGTATTTTAAAAATTAACGAAACTAGCTCAAAATAAATCTGCTTTGGTTCTGTCATATACCACTGCTAATTATAGCCTGGGTAAGCAGAGACTAACCCCTGAATTCATCTCCAGAGCCTGCCTTCCCTCCTCTTCCCTTTGCAGTGTCCCAGTGTCTCCCCAGACTGCTGTAGCAAGTTATCCCAGACAGTCCAATAGAGCAGAGAGTTCAAAATGCACGTTCAGGACAAGACAGACTTGCCAAGCAGTCCTTGAATATGAACAACAATATTTTAATTGTGACTTTTCCCAAGAAATTCAATTTCTCATTCATAAATATTTTTATTGATGCCTGTATTATTTGTAGGTGCGATTTGATTTTATATCTGCATATACTGACATGTATTTGTCTGTGTGGATGTCCCATATTTTGCACTTAGTGCTGGTAACTTTTAGTATTTTTTCCTCTGGGAACAGGCTTTGATAGCTCCAATATTTCAAAGAGCATGCAATCCAAAATCTGTCAGGAGGAAATATTTCTTTAAGGCAGAAAATGTGTTTTTTGTTAACTTTCCCAATCTCTCATCCATTCAGATACGTGTTGAATATATGTTCAAGTTTTGCAGGGCTAAGGCTGGGACTCCAACAACTTCTGTTGATTCCACCTTTTTAAGCAGGAGTTAACAAGAGGGATGTCGAGATTTGAACCTGTATGTGAAGTTCCTTTCAAAAATTAAAGTTTTAGAAGTTACAAATCAGAAAACTGATTTATATCCTTCCTTAATGAGTCTTGGCCTTGCAAGGAATCAACATATATTGTCTTGTCATATTAGTTGGAAGTGACTTTGCATTCCTACAGGAAGACACTTAGGGAGAGGAATCCATGCAATTTCTATAGCATCAAAGCTTTGTTGGGGCTTCCAGGTGACTGAATTAAGATTTATTGTTGGTGAACTTGGTTCCCAGTGATCTATTTAATTCTAAATTAGCATCTCTATTGCAACGCTTAGCTCTTCCAGTGCTTCCCAAACATACACTAATTCAGGCTCACACCACCTCTCAAACAGGAAGAGGGATAATGAGGTGTGGGATCTCCTCTTTTTCTTATTAACTGTACTGTTATTAATGCCTGGACTTTTCTGAGCTCATATAACAAAAGGAGACAAAGCTCATCGGTTTATCGGGAGAGAGAAATCGGGGCCAGCTCTGGCCGAGCCTTCTGGAATTCAGCTGTGACTCCTCTCCACAGACAAACCCAGCTCCCACAAAATCCATCCATCTGCCACAGCACTAATAAACCACAATATATTTCTCTGATTCTTCTCAACAAATCTTTGTTGTTACTTTTTCCTCAACCAATTTTTTATACATTTTATAAAACCCCTGCTGCAACTTTATCAACTTCTGCAGTTAAATAAATAGTTTCTGAAGTGAACTTAAACCTGTGTTTTGCTGACGTACATGAAATATATACACATTTTATGTGAGATAGTGATTTGCAGACCCCTTATAACTTCCAGAATTGTTCTGCGCACTTCATGTGTCTGATGCACAATGAAGAGATATTTGTAGTGTTTTCAGATAAAAACCTGATCATTAATAACATATTGAACTGTGAGAAGTGTTAAAGATGGAGAATTGCTTCCAGTCGAAAAAGTTTTGGAACACCTTAACTTTAAAATATCAGTTACCTGACAAAAAAAAATTACATCTTTTTGGTGTGCCTTAATCCCTTTGGTAAGTTCAAAGCATAATTTTTCCACGTTCTCTTTATCTTCATTCCTGTTTAAAGATTTGAATACCATTAAGGTCATACTTCAATCCAGTAGAGGCTTGGATCTCCGTTTTCATCTCTCTGACTTCTTATAAAGCAGTAAGTACTGTAAAATATTCTGTGCCATTCTAACTAATCACCCCTCTGGCATTCTGAGCAAATGCAGGTTAATAGTGAATCTTTTAATATTTCTATTAATTACGTATATTATCCTAATAACTCTATTGTCAATTTTTCATTGCTGGGTAATGACTAGAGCTGGGTTAGCTGTTCATAACTACTAATGGATTTAAAAGAAAGCAGAGGTTTTTGTTTGTTTGTGATTTGCCTGCTGGAAAAGTCTGATTTTTACAAATCTATTTGTTATTTGAAATTCATTTGGGGATTTTCTCTGCCGATGCGATTCAGCATTATTTCTGGTTTGGACAGGGGCATCTACACAGAGTATAGAAAAAGGGCTGTGGTTATAAGAACTAATATCTGAAGAAAACCTAACCTTTTTGTTAAATATGACACACGTATACGTGGAAATGAGAACACAGTTGGAGTGCTGGTGTTTTACAGAGCCACTGTGACATGTGCCTTTGCACAAATCCATGAAGTTAAGAGGAGGATCTCTGTGAAGGCTTCAGATTTAAGCGCCGCAGAGGGGAGGCAGGAGATGGAGTAATTCAATTCTTATTCTAATAAAGTTTCCTGTTTGGAATGGGAAGAAAGGACTCCTGCTCCAATTGTCCAAATGTTCCGGTGCCACCCACCATAATGAGGTGGAAACAGAACTGCAGCCAATTCAATAGGACTTTCGGTTTGATGAGCCCGTAGAAAGATCTGAACATAAGGATTGTTTCACAGAACCTGGGCAGCAATGAAGCTGAAAATATCGATTCATAAATTTCCCAGGAAGATGAGAAAAACGGGGCAATCATTCCTGAGAAGTTGATGAACATTTCCATCCCAAAATACAATGCACTAATGGACGTGTTTGTGTGAAAAGGATGCAGAAAGGTTTTAAATGCAGCAGCATGTGAATAAGCAGAGTTTCTTGAGTGTTTTCTTAAGGAAACACTAATAGTAGAATTTTAAAGGAGGAATTCTAGGAAAAATCATGACACTTGTTTGACTTTGCAAAAGGCAGTTCAGCTGTCAGCACAGTGCAAGGGAGTGAGAAGTTACCCCAGGATTAAATGTGCTCCAAGAGGGTGTAAGGAGAGCTGCAGGAATTTCCAAGTGTGAAAGAAGACTGTTAAAAATGCCTTTTTCCCCCCAGAATTTAATTTCTCAGCCAGAAATGTAACAGGTAGATGAGGCAAAACAAAACTAGGAGGCTGGCTGGAGATGGAGGCAGCAGTGCTGGAAGCTGTGTGGATGTTTGATGATCTCTAAGGTCCCTTCCAACCCCAGCCATTCTATGACTCTATGATTCTAAGCTGTATTGCTGCAGTATTTAAATCTTAGATGCCCTAATTATGGGTTAAAAGTTGACAAACACATCTCAGCCGGCTCAAGCTCAGATATTCCTCAGTCTGGAGACAGCGGCTCATCCCTGCTGAGGAAACAGTGAGACGCCAACAGCTCACGTGCACATGCACATCCTGAAAATGTGCCATGAATCCTGTCCCAGGTGCTTTAGGCTCACTGGACATGTCAGTCCGTTTCCTCATGCACAAGACATCACTTTCCAGGCTTCTGAAAATCCTGGAGCAATGTCAGGAGAAGCAGCAGGGCAGTGGGTGAAGTGTAAAGGCAATAGTAGAGGGAAGAATCACAGTTCTTTCATATTTAAAATCGATTCAAATGGAGAAGTGGCGGTGATTTATAAACTTGAGGAAGGTTAGCCTTAATCTCTAGCTAGACATTTTCATTGCCTGAGTAAACTTTGAGCTCATACGAGCTACAGAGGCAGAAATTTGGTATTAATAGAGACACTTGAGGCAGTTTTCTTAACTGAACCACCCACGATGTCATGGGGCTTTTACAATGAAACTTCACCGAAATGGCTTGGCTGCTCAGGACAGCTCAGATCCTCAGGGACTGTCTGTGCCGGCAGTTCAGCTGCTTCCCAAAATAAAGGCATAGTGCAGAAGAAAACTAAAATAAATCAGAGAAGCATAATAGAAAATATAAAAATATAAACAGAGTTGTGGACCCCACAGCTGAAAGAAATCATGGATCCTGCTGCAGCCCTGGTGCTGTGTAGAGCTCCCAGTGCCCATAGAGAAAATACATAAATAAGTATTTTTACTTTGCTTTACATATCTTTACGGTCATGCCCACAGAGTTTTTTGTATTTTTATAAATTTTTCTGCATGTAGGTTTTTGGGGAAATTTCCCAACAAAACTGTGTGCAGAGAATCTTAACTGCAACTTCCTTGGACACTCAAGTAATGTAAATGACTTTAAAAAAGCCAATTAAATGTATGATTGAATGTCAACCTTTCTGACTGCAGCTTTCATTAAGAAACTGGAAATGTGAGGTATTTTTTTACCTAGTATTGAATACAGTTAATTAAAAAGGTAAAGATTACATTTTGCTTCAGTTAATTTGAAATAAAGAACCTCCATTTAAACAATAAATTTCATATTTTAGTTATAGCAATTAATAGACCAAACTGTGTACTTAAGGTTTTATTATATTGATTCTAAAATAATTAGATTAGCAAACACATTGCAAATATATTATCTAAAACAAATAAGATTATGACCATGCTTTTTGTTATACAGCACAGTAATAAAACATATAACAGTACAATCTAAAGCAATCTCATAAAATTAATAGTCATGGAGCATATATTACATTCTTGCACTAAGTGACAAAAGGCAGCACGAGCATCATGTGGACAGTTTTATGCTGGATGCTTGTTAAATGTCTTGGTGCAGGATTTGTGAAAGTTAAGACATATCTTTGATGTTTAGGAGATAATCTTAGTCCCATGTGTGTTTACTGGAGTATTTCTGAGCAGACCTCACACTACACTTGGAGCAACCTTGTTTTAACCGTGTCTCTCACCCCTCTCCCACCACACTTTCACATTCTTCCTTGCAAAGCAAATTGTAAAAAGTGTTCCAGCATCAGTTTTAAAAGCCTTAAGGCTGTTTGAGAGGCCTTTTAAAAAGCATGACATTCAATCAAAGTTCAGGGAGGAAAGTTTTAATGAATAAACTTGGTAAATTAGAAGGCACCGCAGCAGAGTGATTAACTCTCATTGGAGCATTAGTGTTAAAATTAATTAAAATGTTTAAGCCGTAGGAGGCAGGTTACCTCCTCAAGACCTGGCTTTGCCCTCGGAGTCAGGCTGGATCCTGCAGCGATTCATCTTGCCCGGGATGAGAGGAGGGGTAAAAGAAAAGAGCAGGCAGGACAAATGTGTTTTCCATGGTGCCGCGCCGCGGGAAGGCCACGGGGACCTCGGCGCGGCGTCACTGGAGTGTGACACAATAATACAGTGGGGACAGGGCAGGGATGGGCTTGGGGAGGAAGGCGACCCTCCTCTCCCAGGGATTTCACTTGGCTGGAGGTGACAGAGCTAATTTCATTACCAACACTTGCTGCATGGCGCTGCAGTGCCAAACAGGCTGCTGGGAATGCACTCTCTTTTCCTGATTCTATTAAACTGGGGAATACAACTTTCTTTACCAAGCACCAGAAGTATTTGATACAGCAATATCATTTTGTCCTCGCAGCTGTCACCACCTTTAGTAACAGCCTCTCCTCTGTTACTACTCTGTTACCACACCAACTAATTACATGAGAATTAGCTAAAGTATCTGAATATTAAGAAATAAGGATTTATCTCAGTGCTTTGATGGCAGTAGATATTACCAACCAATTTGGTGAGAAATCATAATGTTAAATTCTTAGTGAAGAAAAAAAGAAAACTTGTTTTCTTTTCAAAATCATTTTAGATCCATTTCTTTCAAGAAGCAGGAGCCTGTATTTCTTCGCAGCCGGACCCATTATGAGGTGGCTGTTTAACAAATCTGTGCTGGTTTAGAATTATAAATGACAGCCTATTTTATAAAGGAAAAAGTCTTCTTTGACAGCAGAACAATATCATACAAATAAAAAATGGTAGATTGTGTCATATAGCTGAACAGTTGTTTTCCCATGTTCACCGAGGGCCAGTTATTAATTTTACATTGGTCAGAATTAAGGATTTTGGAGAAATTCATCTGAAACGGAAAGTATGAAAAATTCCTGCTCAATGAAAATTACCATTATTCGCTGTAGATCTATATTCATAACTTTAAAACCTGGCAGTCTTTCCTATTTTTTTCCTCTATAGATTTCTTGTCAACAAGAGTGTCAGAGGTCAATGTCAGAATGCCCCTCTGGCACCCATTAACTATAACCAGAAAACTTGTTCACTATTGATCTACAATGTCTAAATATCTATTATGTTGGATATAAAAGGTGGTTTCACATCTTTCTAAAACAGATAATTCATAAAGGCCAAAGGGTCAGGTCTAGTGATATATTATTGTTTCACTGTATCAGTGACTGCAAGAGCAGGAGAGGAACAGACCAAGTGAAGTGTCATTGAACTCTTGGGGAGACAGTCATGTGTCCACCTCCCTACCACAGCCCAGAATGCTGTTTACTGCTCATTGCTTGGGGTTTGCTCAGGGTTTTGAAGTCATATTTGAAGTCTGTGTTCATATCATGGTAGGCAGAGCTCACGTGAATCCAAAATCTGGGTGGAAGTTGAGTCTCAGCACTGGAACCTGTCCTTTCAGTGCTGGGGCCCAGCTTGCTGGCTGTGGAGCACTTCACCCCATGATGGTCACACTGCCAGGGCTCTGTGTGTGCTGCAACTGGATTGTGACAAGAGTTTTGCACAAAAGGGCACAGCCCCCATGGGTATAAGTTGTCACAGCCCCGTTGACTTGGATAGAGCACTGACCCTTGATGTGACAGAGGGTTTGCCCCAGAACACGTGACACATGTGGCCATAGCTCCAAAATCGTGTGTTTTCTGAACAGACACTTGTGTAATATCATATGAATGATTTTGTTTGCTCATACCAACCCATCAAATTTATTGAGGCTCTTTTAATCTCCTCATTATTTAACTATTGAGGTGCCTCTGCTCTGCTTAAGCTCAAATGCAGAGCAGAAACAAGTGCATTTCTTTGTTCTGCTATTGCTACAACAGAGCACAGAACACTGTGAGGATGGAGGACACAATCCAGGGCTTAGTTTCCCCCCCCAGTCCTGTGAATTCAACCTTTGAGACTACATGGCATTTCCCAGAAGGCACCTATTACTTCTACAGGATGAGACCCATAACAAGCAAACCCTCTTTGGAAGGCAGCTGATACTATACTCTTTAATGGAGTTTATGGCCTTCTAGCAAGCCCCCAAAATGGTTCATATTCTTCCAGGCTACATTTTTGAAGAAAGTAAATTGAGATGAATCATGCTAAGATGAGATAGTTAAAATGTCAGGCTCCATAAGTTTCAATGCATCCTTATAGCTCTGAACACTAAAATGCAACTGAACATTGGAATAAGGGAAACAAAAGAGAATCAGATAACTAGTTCTTATAGAGGGGAAAAAAGTAATTTCTGTCTGCGCTGCTACACCATGGAAATCCACATAGTACAGTTTTAGAGCTGTACCTTAAAAAAAACAATTGCAGTTTCTTTTTATCACTGGCCTTGGTTA